GAAAAAAAAATAATTTCCACATACTGTTGAGGAACTTCAAAAGCAACTAACAAGTCTGAAATCAATCTCTCTTCTCTTAAAAGTTTTACATAGCAAAACGTTGTAACAACTGCATCAAGTATTTTATATTAACAATAGAAAGGAGTTCAGACTGTAAGCTGCTCTAGGCTATGATTCATTCATGGCACTCTGCCAAAAAAATAAATACATTCAAGACCAATGGCCTCAAGGGGAAAGGTAGGCCACTTTTTTAAAAAGCACAAAGATAAATGATTTACAGAACAGAACACAGTTTAAGATTTCAGCCTATATGGATGATGAGGAAGGACTTTCTTACGTCTCACAAAGATTTACTGCACAGACTTGAATACTGGCGATCTATCAACAGATGGAGTAAACCAGGAACTATTAAACTGGGATTTGCAAAACTGTCTCCAAAGAGCAAGAAATGACCCATTATATTGCTATACACAAAGAAAGTTCATAAAGCCAAATCAAGATATGCAGTGGGTATTTCAGCCACGTAAGACAAACATGGCCGGTTCAGATTACAGGCAAACTCTGCAGTAAAGTAACACCTGTAAAGTGAAAGACCAATCCACTGGCAGCATGACAAACAGTTTAAAGGTTGGGAGGGTTTGACGCCATACAGCATCTGCTGCACATAAAAATGTTTAATTAGCTGCTAAACAGCAAGCAGTACATTCCTATTTTTTCTAGGAGAACATTTATTTCTTGAATAAATGCCCTTGCTTAGCTAGCAAGGTTCAGAATGAAGATAGCTGTTTCACTACGGGAGCTGAGGCCAACTCATTCTCACATATCAGATTGACTTGTAATTGACTTCTAATGTTTGAACCACCATTTCAGTAGCAAGCACCCTCTGAAACACCAAAACCACTTCTAAATATGTCCTACTTTAATATTCAGAACATTATCTTTAACTGTATTGCTAATGGCTTTTAAAAGAAAGCAGCTCTTTTAAATGCTTCCCTAGAGTTACAACTGCATTTCATAATTTAAAAATTCTAGATTTAACTGCTGCTCATCACCAAACTTAGCAGTAGTAGGGAACTGAAGAGAAACACTGAGCCTCTTAGGAAGCAAGATATCCTATAAGATATTCCATTTAAAGTTCTGGTACACACACATCTCCAACGTACCCTCTCTCAATAAAAGGGAGAACAGCCACAACCTCAAAGTAACAAATAAAAACCACCAAAGGGAATGAGCTGTTAGAATCCAGCTTTCACTCACGCTGCAGCCTTATCCCAGGAGGGGGTCAACTGTACAACTGTACAGTGCCCAACTGTACTGAGACACCACATAGAATTTTAAAATTCTTTTTTTACTTCTGTAGATTCAAGCCCAAGCTATATGTTGCCATTAGTCTCAACAAAGAATTACGTATTCTATAATAGTAGTAATGCATGCATTTTAAGTCAAGCATGTGATTAAATGCTCTGCTAGTGAGAATTCTCAACCAGATGTTGGGCAATCTTATGACACATGATCTCTCTCAACCAGTGCTTGAAGCAGTTGTAATTTATGAGCCAGTGGTTTTACATCCTGTGGTGCTGTTATTTAACCAGGTTTAAAAAGCCCCATCCTCACCTTTTCTTAAAAAAGAAGTACAAGTTGGTCAGGATGGTTTTGTTCAATGTTATTACTTCCCAGTGTGGGTCATGATATAAAACTTCACTTAATTGCACTATTACAGGAGGAAGGAATGAGCTCCTTAAAAAGGTAAGAGTGTCAGGTTTTGCCACTGCCTGCTTTTTTTGTTGGTTTTTTTTTTTTAATTTCATCATATTGTTTATTCTGTGGATAAGTTTTTGCTCCATCTGTGCACCACAGATGTCCCTTTTTTTTTTTCCTTTCAGCTCGCACATTTCTATACAGCACCTCAGAAAGCCTGCATCCTTGAGGGAATTATGGGAATTACAAAAATGCAATAGTTACATTTTCATTTACAGACATAAAGCGGAGATAAATGAGGCAAAATTTGGAATAACATTTTAGTTGTTAGCCTTAATTATCTGGTAATGTATTCAGTACATACAATAGCTTTCTAACAATCCAGTGTGCAGCAACTGGCATTTTTTAAAAACAAGTATTTTTCTGCTTACAGTATTCATTTGCCAAAAGTCAACTACAGGAACAGAATTCACACACACACACACACAGAGAAAAATACAATTTCACTACGAGTGATCTCACTGAATTTGTCAGGGACAAATCCTCACCAGTGGTGGGCATCCTCTCCTTTAGGAGGAGTTAAGGCTCACTTAGGCCCTTTCCCATACAGCCTTAAAAGAAAATAAACACAACTACAAAAGAAAGCCCAGAACATATAAGATTCAGTTACATTATAAATAAATAAATCAAGCAATCATTTGGTTAATTATTCATGAAGAGGGAGGGTTATTTTTGAAATTGTTCTGTTTTCTACAAGGAGTTGATATGATACATTATACACTGTCAATTTCCATTTCCAAATTTTTTTTTTTTATCCTAAGACTTTCACAGATGAGCACTTCTTTTTTTTTCTTTCCCCCTCCCTCCAAATAATACAGTGGACCCTACTAAAAATTTGCTAACATCAAATTGCTGGTGTAAAAATCACTTTTGTCCATGCTCCCACCCATATGCAGGTTTCCCCTACAGTGTACTTCACTTAGGACAAAAAATAAAAGTTGTTACCTCATTAAATGACTAAACCAGGCAATTCTGCCAGCACTGCACTTCTTACCTGGTAACCATTTCATTCAAAAGGTCACGACTCCATCCTGAATCTTTTCTCGTGCTGTTCATTTGTCCAAAAGCCTTGTATCTGTCAGGGTCTGTTTCTACCACTGGGATCAGTATTCTCTGTTCTTAAGAATTTTCCACTGAGCATACCTAAGTAAGTCAACATCTGATTTCAGATTTCTTTTTACTAGAGCTTATGCTGAAATGCAAAAATCTGTATGGCTATTTCGAGTCTTCGCTACATATGAATTTAATTTTAAGGTGAATAGGGTATATTTTGTATAAAAGACTTCTAGATTATCCAGAAAGGAACCTCTTCATGCAAACAAAAAAATCCAGCCAAACCCCAAGGTTAATTTAATTTAAGCAGTGGCTTAAATTCCCTACTTCCATTTCTTATAATATAAACTTTTCAAATCAGGGACTTTGGCCTCTTACTAATAAGGACAGAGAATGCTAGTACCATACATACAAACATTCTCTAGCTTAAGTCACTTCTTTTGCAGAATGTGCCACTGTAAAATGGATAGTCAGCCTCCTAATATCAGAAAAGGGACACTTGAGGGGATTTGTCTTACAAATTCTAGATCTATCATCAACAGATAATGCAAAGCGTTATGAATCTGCCTATGACCTTAGAAAGTTACTATTTCACAGTAATGTTATTTTCCAAGAAAATTAAAAAAAAAAAAAAGGACACATTTATTTCCTGACTCTGGATTCAAACTTTGTCACTTTAAACACAAATATTTTAAAATAATCAATATTTAAAAGTTCCCCTGTGATTAAAGTAAGCCTGAATGAGTCATATTACATACTATAATATATTCTCTGTCTTCCTTCTTAAATTTATGCTTTGAACTGCTCTCTGGAAACAGTTAGCAGCCAATTTCATTCCGATATTTTTTTTTAAGTGAGACCACTAGATCAAATGTAGCTTGAGAGATGGCCCTACTGATCACATAATACACAAGAAAAAAAATACATGCTGATCAGGAAAGTTACATTTTATTTCCATTTTTTACCTTTAAATTATTTTTATCATTGACACTCTCAGAAATAAAATTATGTGTTCTCTCGATTTCTTTCTATTAAGAAAAACATCCACAATTACCAAACCCACCTGACTCAGCGCAAAAAGTATTCTATTTACAACAGATGTTCCAAATCTATTGCATCACACATGAATGCTGTCAGAAATGTCCATTCTTTAATGTCATGATTAATGTAACACATTATGCAGAAATGTCCATTCTTTAATGGCATGATTAATGTAACATGTTATATAAAAGTCCAATTTTCTTTAGTTTAGCTAATTTAATTAAGCAAAGGAGAACAAGTTTTATCTTTGTGGACAGTATTTTCACAAAAAATATAATAATCAAAGAATCAAACAGTAGGTACTTCTGTTCATAAAACTCCCAACTTTAAAGCAACTAGAATCTTCAGCCAAACAACACACATTTCATAAATCTGCACAAGTAGGTCCTGAAGGTCAGTGAAAGTATGACTTTCCTTCCAACTATGACACTTTTGACAATGCTTAGCTATGAGTTGGGCAATTGTCATCTCAGTCTTGTGAAAGGAACATACAATTTTTATGAAAGGATCCAATACCTCACAAACTTCTCATTTCAAACACTTTCCCAGACTGAAAGTCATTGTCAAAATTTTTGGATTCTGAATGTCACACATCTGAGAAAAACTTTACTTTTCATAAAGTCTACCCTGTAGAAGCACCCAGTAAGCATCTTCAGAAGAATTCTAAGGATAAACTTGTAAGTACAGAAATAATGAAACTGTCCTCTCAAAAATACATATCTACTTAAAACTCAATGGACTCTCCAGTTCCATAAGTCCCTGATAGAACTAAAATTGTGACAGTGAGTATTTTGAAAGAGCCTGGGGGTATTTTGGAAAATAAAGCCAGCAACACATAGAAATGAGTGGCTTTGATTTCAATTCATATGTACAATCAATCCTTTTTACTCAGGGTTTCTGAAAATCGAAAGGTACAGGAAAATTCATGTCAGTATTCACCCAGTATAATTCCTTTGCCCTATTACCATTGAACCTTCCCCCACTAACAAGACCTTCTATTTTAGTAGTAAAAATGGGCATGTAAATTATTAGAACAGACTTCTTAAATGCACTTTAATCTTCTCGAGCAGGCAAAGGAACATCTGCAAAATATTTAGAGAAAAAGTACCATTTATTTACCCATACACAGTATGTCAAGACTCAAGATGTCATGTCTTCTTTAACCATCCCTTTGTCATTTTATATAATTTCTTCATACTGTAAGTTATAGATTTCTTTGCCCCTAAAAAAAAAAAAAACCCCCAGAAAATATCAACATTTAGAAAGGCTAACTCAAATACTAGGTTCTTAGTACATTAAGTAAAATATTTCCCTGGAAGAATGACAACCTAATCCATCAAGCAGACATGCAAATAACCTTGTCACATTCATAACACCATAAATAATGACACAAAAAATACTTCTAAGAGTATCAAAGCATGCAAAATATGATAGGTTTATTCTGAAGGCCTGCCGATGTTGCATACAAGCACATATAGACAATGACAGAGGTATAGCAAATGTAGAGATTAATGATAAAACTCTTAACCAGTACAAAGGGAAACTTCTAATTTACATTGTTGTTCCTAAATGCAAAATACAGGAAGGCTTTTAAACCATCTGTGTCTACTGCAGACCTACACCAGGCCAGTATATTATGCTTTTCAAGCCCTTCCTGATGTACTGCTAGGTAGCGTGTCCAGCTGAATAGGATTGTACTCTGGCCTACTAATGGACACCAGCAACCTGACAGACTATATTGTGCAGCAGGACACTTGAGCAGGACTATTTAGAGAAGTCCAGGGTGTTAGGCATGCAGGTTAATTAGCTGGCCACATCTGTGAGAAGAATCTAGTTGTAAGAGCTGAAAATACTTCTGAGACAGGAGCCCACCACCAGATTCTGTACATAAAATGATGCCTAATCATCAAGAACCACAGCTGTGCCCAAAGTTGTGCAGCCAAATTTTACTGAAGGGATAAAGGGGAAGAAGAGAGAAGGGCGGGTGAACCAGAACACAAGAACAGTCTGCTCAAGCAAGACAAGCAAACTTTGCATGACTGGTAGACAACAAGCTTTATACTTCCAAATCCTACTTCACCAATTTCTTCTGCTAATCAGATTTTAGCTAGCCTTGCTTGATGCTATACATCAGGCACTTGGTTGCCTTGTTGTAGACCAATTTTACACAGAATTTAAAAGGATCATGCTGATGCCCATCTTGATTAAATGTAATCAAACACTGTCTCTGTTGGACAAACCAACCCAGAGCATTGCTATTCCAAATGCTTGTGAATTAAAAATGAAAACAGAATTGTTTGTTTCATAAGAGATGTGCTGCTGATTGTTGGGGTGGAAATCTGTTCTGGTTTTCACAAGTTGTAAAGTACATTATAACCTCCTTGAATATTTTGTTATTGCCTCATCCTAACTAATGGCAGCTACCATTTCATAACTGAGAGCATAGCACATCTGCAAGAGAATAAAACTGCCCAACTTGCATAATGACATCTGTGTCCTTTGGTAAAAAAAGATAATACTGAAATGATGATGGGTCTGGAAAACCAGATTAATAAGGCATATACCCAGGTGAACTGAAAGAAGCAAAAATAACAAGATGATGACAAACAGCTATAATTTGGCAATACTGCCAGTATCAGAAGTATACCATGGACACCAGTGTGAATACCTTGTCACAGGGATGCTGTCTGGACCAATTTTGCTTTAGGGTAACCTGCCTGTCACTTGTTTATAATAAACTTAATATGAAGTCAGAACAGTTGTCATATTCTAGCATCATCCTGCAGTAGTCCACAAGTACTGAACTTTGGTAAATACCATACCATTACGCTAGGCCTACAATGAAGGCAGGCATTTCTCAATTTTCCTAAAGATACAGAAGGATTTTGCAGCAGTCATTGCCTCCAAGATTTTACAAGTTTCAGATGCGAAGGGATTGAGAATGACTCCCACACAATTTGTAAAGTATACCCTTAGAGTTAAATACTTTCTGAAGTTCTAGCAGAGATGAGCTTTCTCTTACAGACGTAGAGTAAAAAAAGACGCAGCCTTTTGCTGGGTTTAGTCATCTACTATTTGCAAACTTAAAAACAAAATATTGTTAGTCTTGGCATTTCAGTGGGGTTCTGAGATCCTAGCCAGTAGAGCTACTTATTTTTTTCTCCTTCCAGCTTTTTTTGATTAACAAACCACCCCGAAACAAAAAAAACAACATAAAACACAAAGTAACTTTTCAGATTACAACAGAGTCTAATCACACCCTTACAAATTCAAAACTGAAAAGGCAAGTTTTTAATGCTGCACAAAAAGCTTTATTTTTGACACATGGAGAGATTAAAAAGTATGATGTGTTATACTTACTACAATCTTTCTTATGTTTATTTAATAGAACACTGTTTATCTGACAAGATTGACTAAAAGTACACAGAAGCAATTTAGCCAAAAGTCACACAATATGACACACCAGAACACAAGGAAAGATATTCTGGAACAAATGAGCCACTTAGACCCAGGTTTAACCATCTCCTGCACTGGACTTTTGGGGGCCAGGGCAGGGAAGGGTATGACAATATTTGATTTTGAAAAGACCTTAGAAAGTAATTAGATGAAGATAACATACTTTAAGTGAAAGATGCACTCGGCATTAGCAGAGTCACCAGAAGTCAAATGAATATGTAGTAATAAGGAGAAGTGCATGCTCTATTTCTGAAGGAATGTGATGGAGAGTAAAAGGCCTTTCATAATAAACATGCTGTATATAATTAGTTTTGCACTTCCTGTGTCTCTAATTGCAATTTAAATAAACTCAACTTTATTTTTTGTAAGGAATCATCCATACATATATTTTCAACTTACAAAACCATGTGCATCCCATATGTAAGCTCAAACTTTTCTACATTTAATAGGAAGCAAGCACACTAATGAAGTCACAATGAGCTTTTCTTTGCAGCATCTCAAGTAACAAGTAAATAATCATGTAAATTCTGAAGCATCTCACATATCTACGTTAAAATTGCACACTGTGTAAGAATTCTAGTTGCAGAACAAGGCCTGACTAAGCTCAGGTGTAGCACATAAATGAAAGAAGTGCTTCCAATCTCTAAAGTTAAAACTATGTAACTGTACAACTTTGAAAATTACCGTCCAATCTCCTAGGTACCACACTTCCAGGATACAGCCCTTTGAATACTGAAAATGCTCTGCCAGAATCGATGTTGTTCTGCCATTCCAATGAAGTCAGTGTACTTCTGGAAGCACAGTATAGCATGTGGCAAATCAACAGTAACACAGCTGATACAGCCCTGCAGGACTGTAATTAACTGCACTGACACTGCAGCCTGCAAGTCAGCTTGTTCCATCAGCTTCCCAACCTACTTTGCTTCTTGCAGCAGCTTAACATAAAGAGATTTTTCTCCTTCATATTTTCCCCCTACAGGGAACACTCTACTGAACTCCACCCACTAGAGCCTTATGTAATAAGATGCTTACATTTCTGCCCTAGCACATCATGCTACAAAGCAAAATGCAGGTTTATACATACAGCTGGTTTCTTAAAGCAGCCCTCAGGGTGATGAGTCACATCTGTAGTAAAAGTTAATGGTTGTAATTATGGCTCAGGCTTAGAATCTGAAGCAGTTAGACCACATGAAAATGTCTTTCTACTTTAGCTATGAATCTACGACTTGGTGGTTCCACCTCCCCTTTAGATTTTTCCACTATATGATACAGAACAAAGACCTAATACACATGGAATCAAGACCACAGAATTTCAGTGTAAACATAAGTTGTATCTGGTTTTACTTAACAATCTATGTTCAGTTTTTTGGAAGTGTTAGTGTAAGATAGTTATTTGGCTATAATATCAGTCCCCCAAAGTTTCCCGGTAGATATGCCTGGCTGTAGTATTCTTTATTTCCTTTTGAGAAGGAAGACTAATGCATGTACTGCTGAAGAGCTGTCATGTGGAGGGCAAATAGTTGTATATATTGTTAGTGTATCATGCACAGACACATGCAAGCTTTTTACACATATTTACAGTGGAGTGCAGTGGTACGCAGTATCTGCTCAGGCACCTGATGAAGACAGCAGTTATCACAAATCTACAGAATATTTTGTACGTAAAGCTGTCCCTTATAGTTAAAAAAAAAATCCTTGAAAACATACTATACTAAGATCCCAATTCTAAGGAAACAAATGTTATTCAGAGAAGCTACAAGCATTTGTGCTAACTTAAAAGTATCTTGAACAATTGCTTCAACTGGTGATTTAATTCATAGTATTTTATTTATAAGAAATTTTAAAGGCTTGCAGCATTCCTCTGGTAAGGTATAAAGAAGAAATCCAAGCTAAAGAAGCATCAGCATCTCCTTCAGAGGAGCTAAATATAAGAACTTCAGAGTTAGTTCCCAAAGACCACGCAGACTCTGGCTATGTGGGAAAATAAATCAAATGATGGTGCCATCTCTAATGGGAAACAGAGAGGCAATCTCACCACAGACTCGAAGAAATACATAGGCACATTTTCAAAAACTAAATAGGGCATTTAACAACAAACAAAAACATAGAGCTTGAGCTCAACTTTAAAACCACATTGGCAGAGAAAGATGAAAAAAGTTCTCCTAAATGGGCTGAAATTCTTTATTTTGCTTCTGATGCTTGCCAATAATGTTAATACACAGCATGCCATCCCAGCAACGACTAGTCCCTATTTAACATTTAATTTAGAAACATGCTGCACATTGGACTACCACGCTACAGACCAGAGAGTAGGCATTTCACTTCTTTTTGTTGTTAAGATAAAACAATCAGCTAAGGAAATAATTTTGTGTCCACCATTACATTTCAGAATGAACAATGGCCATGTAATGAAAACTAATTCTTTTGCAAGCAGACGTAGGACAGAAGTACTTGTATAGTTACCAGGAACAGCAAGAAAAAATAGCCACAGCTTTTTTTAATGGAGCCACTGATTTCATGACCCTCTTTCATAATTCTCTTATTTCAGCTGCTATTCTTAACATAAGCACTGCAAAAGGACAGAGCCATAATACTTTTCCTAAAGTCTCTACTAGGAAGTGTGAAAATAGGTCTTAGGGGAACAGAACATTAAACAATATTTGGTTAAAGAAAGAAGAAATAAATACAGCATCCTTAGGGATTAAATTTAAAAGCTCACTTTCCTGCAATACACATTCCTTGCATGAGTCAAACAAATACTTTCAATGTAGGAGCCACAATGTTTTGTCTGTATACAGAATGTATCTGTATGAGTATTAGCTGGTAAAAGCCCCAAGAAATGGCAAAGCAAGAAGAACAGCATTAATGCCTGCCCCCTAGTGACAATTTTTTTTAAGTTAAAAAACTGTGATTGGGAGAAAATCTTAATTAGAAGATACAGCAAGATTTCACAGAAACTCAATCATAAATGTTTGGAGAGAAATATTAAAAAAAAAACAACCAAACAAACAAAAAAACCCAAACAAACAGGCAAAAGGCTTCTACTAACTAACTCCTAAACCCATGGAAACCCATCCCTCCTCAACTCCAGGGAAGATTACTGAAGATCATACAAACACCACATCTGAAAAATCCTGAGGTCATGCCCCTAGTCAGTTAAATTTAATTTCTTTTTTAATGTGCACTACAATGTAAGTTGTTATTGCAAAAAATATGACTTCTGTGCTTCTGTCCATCTTCAGTGAGCAAAACTGGTGGTGCTCTGGTAAGGCCCACGCACAGGCTTGTTGGGAAGCCAGACTATGCTTACATTAGCAAGTGAGGCAACACTCATTTTATGTGCAGTGGCACACATTACAGACACACTCCTGATCCTAACTGAAGCAGCAGGACTCCCCTTCTCCAGCCAGGGTGAGAATGCCTGCACAGCAATGTTCAGGAAGGTTAGCTCTACAGGCAAGCTTTGCATTCATTAAACAACATTCAGAGGTTAGGAAATGCCAGAAACAGTCCTTTTCCAAATCTATCTCATTTCCCTCAGCACATAATCTGTGAGTAACCCCAACAGCTTAATCCTGAATTCCGTTGCTAATGCTTTTGGCCAGATTCTGGCAGAAGTGCATAAATATAGTTAAAATAAAACAAACTAAATTATGCTAAAAGTAAGAAAACTAGACTCTCCGAAGCCTCTCCTTGCTCAAATTTGGCTTGTGTTTGAGCCAAAGAATCACAATTGCTTTGCTCTACCTGAATCAAACTGCAAAAAAAGCACTTTCAACACTAAAAGCACTAGTAGAAAATACATGGCTTTAGATGTGTTACTTTATGTAATGGGCTAGTTAGAAGACAATTAGAGTTTGTTTTAAAGTGGAAAAAAAAAAAAAAAGCCACTGTATATAAACCAAAAAGCAGTTAAGAGAAAGGAAGGAAAAGGCATTCCACAAATACCTAGTTTCAGGTGTGCAAAACAGAAAACATGGTAAAAATGACAAGTCCTCCTAGAAGATTCATTAGGACACCCCAGAAGTCCCAGTAACAATATAGGCTGTAAGTGATTTATTTTGTGACACATAAAAGGACCTAACAATTCCCAGAGGTGATGTTCTGTCTATCAGAACAGACAGAAAGGGTGCATAAATAATCTGACAAAACTTAACTATTTTTATGCATACTCTTGCAGTTACACACAAACAGCTTTGCTCCACGGGTCAGTCAGGCTGCTAACTTTCACAAGCACTGAATTCAACATAATAACACTGTCTTTGACCCCTCCCCTCCAATTATTTTGCTCTACAAAATCTAGTCTCTCTGGATTTAGAAACAGATAGGTTACAAGCTGATATTTCTAAAAGAGGCATGTTACAATACAAGAAGTCTTGACCACTAGCAGGTAATTCTGACAACAAACCCTAGAAGAAAAACGTCCCCTATTTGCTTGGAAACCTTACATTAGAAACTAATACCTGCAATATGCCTAACTCATATAAAACAAAAATTTGCTTTTCTCAGATGGAGTTATGTCCTTAAGTCTCCTCCAGCTACTAAACAAAGTTAGGCAATGGTTTTGTCAGACTTCTTCCAGTTAATAGAACTAGACTATTAACATAAGCATATAAAAAGTACAACTGTTCCTGCTTATTTTATTCAGCAGACCACTAATGGTCCTGAACACTGCAACCTGTGTTTCTTTACAAGGAGGTAAGAAGTGTAACATGGAGCCACCAACTTTAATACTCAATGGGAAGGGAACAACGGCTGTAGAAGTCTGGATAAGGATTGCTCAGTAGGAAACTATACAGCTGCTTTTAAAACCAGTAATGGTATCATTTGTATAGAATTGCTTTTGCAGAAGAGTTAGGAATAGGTATGAATGAGTTCAGAAAATTATTTGAGCAACTTCATGCAAGCAGCAAGGATTTTTCACTTTGCAGGAATTAAGACTAACTCCTGATCAGAGTTTTAAGTAAATGAAGGTTCAGGTCTTAAGTCTGCCTTTTAAATTGAGCTGCAGTGCTTTCAGCTTTTCAAAAATGTAAAAATCAAGTCACCTTAAAATTAGATTCATTCCAGAACTCAGAAAACAGGATGAAGCTCCAGCTATGTAACTGGCAGTAACTTCCATTCAGCTAGGAAGCCTTTGACAGCTGAAAAGCATCCCTAACTTTTCCCATGTTTCTACACAAACAAGTCCTTTTTTCCCTTCTACACCTTCTCCCACATTGACTTTGTAACACTCAACCTTTTTTCTAACGTAATTAATTTTGAAGTATGAGAGTTACAGTAATATCCAATGCTCACCAAGTATAGGCTCAGTTTGGAATACATGATGTCTTCAAATACATACCCGTCTTCTGAGCCTGACAAAAACATCAGATCCTGTCAAAGTTCTCTCCCTCAAAACTCATCCTCTCCTTTATTTTATGAAATACCCTTATAGTCTACATAACACACCAATACTATGTACTGATCATTTAGGGATCCACTCACATGTAATTCAGAGTGAATTTTAAAGTAATTTTTTCCATTTTTTAATATAAAAACAGCAGAACTAGTGCACATCAGCCAAAGCTGGCCCACATATAAAACGAAATTCAAGTCAGAAGTTGGTTTTTTGTTACTTTTGGGTTGTTGGGGGTTTTTGTTTAAGAGTCATATAGACTCCAATTCTGTTTGGCATTTTACAATTTCGCAATAGTTATATAAAGCTCCTGCTTTAAATATTACTTTTATTTTCCAGGGGCTTTCAATTAGACATCCAAAAAGTTTATTCTTTAAACTCTTGTAACAAGACAGTCTTGGGGCACTATAATTTTTATTTTGTGGAATCAGAAGGCCTATGTTGATAGAAATCACACACATTCTTACCAGCTGTTAGTATGGTTTTAGCACTCTGCACTATACTGGAAGATCTCACAATTCCCGAAATGCCTGCAGATAGAAAAGCACACAGATGTTACCCATCTTAGCAGTTTTGTGGGGATTTTTTTTATCCAACATACACAAAGTTAAATATTTTTCCAGTTATACAATCAAGCCAGCCTGAAAGTAAAACATACACTTAAGCTGAGAAAGTTTGTTTCTGTTCTGCTTTGTTGTATTAATTGAAAATATTCGCAAAGCTATTTTAAATTCTTTTATATATAACATACAAAAAACCCCAAATCAATATCAAAACAGATAGCAACGAGTAGGATTGATCAAATGAATTCATTTAGTGTTCCCATTATTTCTCTACAAAGATGATTAGTCACAAAGGATTCAGAGTTGTTTCATTTAAGTGCTGGCATATTAATTTTCCAGAGCAGAACAAATTATACTCCTTGTTTACTTCAATATGAAACTGGGATTTTGCGCTTCTCCGATCAAGTAGAGATTCCTACATTGTGCAGTGTTTGTCTGGCTTTTTAAGTTATAAGCTTTTGGAGATAAGGCTTGTTTACCACTTTGCACTGTGGCACATCCAGTTCTCATCATCCAGTGGTTCTTGGGCATTAATGGAATAACAAATAAAACATAAAAACTTTTTTTTAAAAGTACTCAGTTTTATCTGTTCTAACACATATATATAAAAGCACACTGATGCACAGAACAATACTGTACATCATTAAATACTTAAAAAAGTAGAAATGCAGCAGTCCCAGAGTTAGTCTTCCAAACTGAAAGTTATTCTTCTGCATTAACCAGAATGTAGAATATAATTTCAAATATTATTTTTAAATCCTTCTTTCAGAGCTATTTCTATAATGAATAACAAAGCTTAGCGAAATCCGTGAATAAGGAAGAGGGATACGATATTCCACCGGAAAATAATCTGGGGGGTAGGGGTGGGGAGGGGAAGTGAACAAATCATGTTGAGCTAGTAAAATACCTAGGGACAATGCAATTCAACTTGAGCAATCAGCTTTGTCTTGTAGGATTACCAAATGGCTTGTCCTGTCCTTTACCCAGATTCTTGAATTAGGAAAATCTTTCAGCTGCAAAAGTGAATGAGGGGTTTTGATTTGTTCTCCTAAGGGTATAAACCGCTTGGCTTGAGAAGACTAGATCTATCCAATGTTTTGATACTGAACTGCTGTACCACTGTGCACAGCCCACAGTCACAGCCACGCCTGCAATACCCTACATAAACACAACCGCAAGGATAGTTAGCTCCAGGTGGACAACTCAGAGCACTAAAACTATATGCAGCTCACAACCACTGCAGCTCCTACTCCCAGATTCAGCCACTATCACATTACTGTTGCAGTCCAGCCATAGTAGCATGGAAGCTGCCACAGACTGACATGAAAGAAGCTGGACACCTTGATGTCCAGGTGGAATTCATCCCATACTGTCAACAGAGAACTGCAACTCAGGAGCTTTATTTCCCCAAAGAGTAATCAGCATAAGAGCTCCCTCAGCAGTTGGCTAGTGTCTAGTGGCTCTCAGGCATCTAGGGAGTTTTTGCTGTGCTCAAGGAGCCTGCAAAATTGGCCACCTGGAACTAAGATGTGTGAAGTTTTTTAAAGATGTAAAGGACTCTTCAAGTGCTAAACATTTTCATTTTTCTGCAGAATAATAAAACATTGATGTCTGCACCATAAGCTTTAACTTGCTCATACAACATTATCTTCCCTCAGAGAAGCTATCTGTGATGACAAGAAACACCTCAATCTTCTTCCTCAAAGCCCGAATTCTCTGCCAGAGCTCACATATCTGGACTAACAACTATGAAAACTGGGAAACGTAATGTCAGAAAGCTAGAAAATTAGCATTGCAACGTATGACTGGTAGGATATATAGCTTAGTATTTGGATGAAGTTACGCCAGTCAATAAAATCCTGAAGGTGTAAGCATCCCAAACAGAGTTAGATGGTCTAAGTAGGCCACACTAATTCCTAAAGACTACTACTTTCAGAATCCAAACCAAAACATATCTTTCTGTATCAGTAGGAAAGCTATTTGCTAGTATTTCAGACAACCTGTTTACAATCAAAGAAATCCAAAACCAGGCTTTTAGGAATGTATCTCAAGACTAACCTCTTGTTTTCTTCTTCCTTCTCTCTAAATCATCCTTCTGAACTAGAAGAACATGTACAATAAATCTGTATACCTATCATGTCTTTAAGAAGATTACAGATGCTGATCTAGGCCTACCTTGATGCACCACAACTCCACAGTCAGGGTCATGGGCAACTTGCAGTAAAATTTCTTCCACATCTCTGTTTTTTCCAGGAGGGTCTACCAAAGAAGTTATCTTTTGTTGCAGAGTCCTTGGCAAAGCCATCAGTTGTGTAAATTGACCTTCTGGACTTTTATCAATCTGAAAACATTATATAAAAAAAAAAGACAGTAAAAAAATTCAGTGTTAATAAAGTAAGTTATCTTTTCAAAGAAGTCAGAAAAGTCTTTTGGCTATCTTTGACCTCTGATAAATATCTCAAAGAACACAATCCATTTCACTTCTAAAAATCATTGACAATGCTAATGAAAACTTCCCAAGCACTGGAAAATGCCGTTATCTCGGTTCTGAACCTGAAGAATTACTCAATGCAAAGATGTTATTTTTTATCCAAGGGAAGACTAATGTACACACATGATCTTGCAGCCTCTGTAAGCAACTTTTCATTGAAACTGTATCATTTCTGCTCTATCCAATTTCCTTTGGAAACATAAGTACACTACAATGAAAAAAAAAAAAAGTTCCCAGAAGACCACTTAGCTCAGTTTCTTCTGCCTGAACATAATCAAACTATACACACACACATTTCAAGTTAGTTTGAAAAACGTTTTCTCTGCTTTAAACTCAAACCACATCTGGTTTGTATAATTTGAAGGAAACATTCATTCCACGTTTTCCAATCTAAATCAGAAATTCAATGAGCCTTTTTTGAGCACAATGATACCAACGTGCAGGCCTGTACACATTTATACAAAATGTAAGCACAGATACTGAAAAATGCATAATGAGCAGATCTCTCCAAAACTGGAGGAAAATATGAAGAGCTCGATTCCTCCCACACAACTTTTTAGACAGTTCATGGAGACATCAGACAGGAGTCTAGTTGCCCTATACACTCCCTTTAGTCAATGGGGAGAAAATGATATCCAGATGAATCACCCACTGACTACAGAGGGAACCGACAATGAGCAGGCTCTTAACATTATGTGGGACGAATCCACGCCTGAACCAGAACTACAAGAACTAGTGTCTGCCTTCAATTGTTTTTGAGTAATCTTTTAAGGAAGAATTTTCTCTGTAACTCTGAAGATGTATACTTGAAGAAGGGGTTTCTATTCTGCATTAAACAGCACTCCCAATAGCAGTTATCCTCTTCAGTCTGAGGAATAACTGCCAATAACCAGACCAAGGTGCAAGGAATACATTATTAAAGCACTTTGCTCAAAATCAACAGTAAAATGATGGCATTTAATCAACAGCCTTGATGACTATTATGGAATTATGGACAGATTTATTATCCAACAGTATATTTGTAGTATGCTACCAGGATTTGTTTAAAGGTAACACAACAGATAGTATTATTCTAACTAGCCATTTTCTTAGAGAAAGCATTACTGATTCTTTTCAAAATTAATTTAAATACTTCTTTCACCAAACTGTTCAATAGCGTATTGATAAGAAAACATGGAGACAGCTGCAGTGTAATACAGATTTGCCTACACCATACTCCAAAGCGTTGCAGTAAAACTGTTCACTGTGCTCAAGCTTGCTTATATCTGTACTTCAGTTTCTAACAAAGACACATCCTAAAAGGAGACATTAATGCGATAATTACCAAGGTGACTTGAGGATAAAGAGATACCCATGTCCATGAGACAACCCATGCTATTTGTAACTTCATGTTGAAATGTATACCACACTTGAATATTCATTCATGGACATGCACACTACAAGAGGAAAAACTGCTGTTGGACTACTGTGGCACCTCTCCCCTAATTGCAATGTTACACTTATGCCAGAAAGATGGAATTCAAGATACTGGTCATTTTGGATACCTGTTTCCCAAATACTAGGGAAAAACTGGTTTAGTATGGGTATTTAAAGATAATGCCAGAATTTCATTTGGGTTTAGTCAACTGATCTTCATAACTAGCACTCTAGGGGTTTTTTGTGAGATGCAGGTTTTAACCACAGAAAGTTGCACCTCTAAGTTACAGCCTAATCTTTTTAACACAAACCATATGTTTATTCATCACTTCCTAGACTGTTGTTTCCATATGGTAGTCATTAGAACACATGTTTTAAAATGATCTTCTCTTGTTCCCTTGCTAGGGCTCTAGTTCTGTGCCCATACTCAAAGAAAATGAACAGTAGTTACTACATATGCAGAGACTGGTATTTAAGGCAAGTCTTCTGGTTGCAGAATTAACTAAACAACAGAAACATAACAAATAGCATGTACAGCGACTAAAACTACTCGCCTTAGTGTATGGCATAATTCTTGCCTTCTGTCAATGTGATAAAGCACTTCCACTTGCTTGTTTTAAAAATGCTTTGAAGAAGAACACTTGCCTCTAGCCTTCCCAGATGGTGCTTATATACCACTTGAGGGCAGTCCTGTAATATGTTACTGTACAGCTTCTGAAAATGGGGAACATTAGGTTTCACTATGTTCTGCACTTTCGATCTGTCTTCTCCTATTACCATTCTGAAATCCCCTAGTCAAGAAAAGAAAAACAGTTAATTCATTAGGAAAAGAAAGAAAACTCAAAGGAGAATATAACAGAAATCAACATAGTACAAAGCTGTCATCTGAAACTTTATTCTTCAATTCTACCAATGCCTATATAACCCACAATAAGGTTCACCTTCTAATAGTCAAAAAAGACTATTCAAATACCTTCAAGCAGAGAAAATAAGATTCAGAATTGTTATGTGACCTCTGATATGCTGTAATGTCATCAACTCATGTGTCCACATTTTCACTTGGACAACAAAAAAATTCCAGCTGTTAAGCTCAGCCTGGAAAGCAGCAGTAACACAGTTACATTCTTTGCAACTATACATCAGTTTCAACAGATTACTGAACAGATTGACCAGCACCAATACTTTGTATCCAGAAACAAATAACCTTCAATTTTCCAATATTGAAAGAAAATAATTTGCATTGTCTCTGCACTTCAAGGGCAATACCTGAAGCACAGCTAATGGCCCTCATGGTAAGATCACAGTATCGCCTTTTCCTCTTAGACATGTATTTTGTTAGTAGTTTCAAAAATCAACTCCTTTTAACACCACTGTTACATTACTGACATTTACACTTTCTTTTATGATGCAGGACTGAAAAGTTTCAAAGAGAGTGAGAGGACAGTCAGTCTGCAATAGAGCATTCATCTACCTCTATTAGGTATTACCCTGGTAGCTTCCAGGGTTACCAACCAGAAGTTAGAGGCTTAGTGCAGCACATATCAACAAACAAAATCCTGAATCAATCCATTTTCCCCACTTCCCACACTCAGGAGATAAATATTGTTGCAAGGTGGCAACTTGCTAGCGTTACTTAGTTTATTTCAATTTATGCCAAGCCACAAAACAAACACTTCCCATATAAATGGTACTGACTCACTGCTCTCAAAAAAAAAATTCATAAAAAAGAAAAGGATGAACATTTTCCAAATTAAAGCATGAACAACTCTTTTCAGCAGTCTCCAAGGAGACTGATTACAGTAACACATAAAATCAATTTTGTCTACTAGTATACCCTCTGAAAAGTTTAAGACTTAACAAAATGGCAGCAAAATAAAATATCCACAAACATGTCACTGACAGCCTTTTTCTTGAACAGTCCCAACGGGGAGTCTTAGTGCTTTAGCTTTGTCCACAAAGTAGAGCCAATTTCAACATCTTACAGCATGGTAACTGATCTCCCACATTTTTGCTTAATTGCACTGTTTCAAAGGACATACAAAAAAGTATGTTAGTCACTGGCACTCACCAAGAATCTAATTACATTCCTGGACAGGTTTCAGGTGGGCAGGTATGCAGCCCTGTAGCAAACATCCCTGGTTAGCAACCCTTAGCCATGCCACTCACTACCCTCTTCACTGTCACTTTCAAACAGATAATGACTCAGAAAAAAACTGCTAAGGAAAAGCGGAACAAATTGCAATCTAAACTGACCAGGTAAGTACTACGTAACGGACAGTAACACTCCTCAGCAGAGCCAAGCTGCAGCTTATAAAGCCTGCCTGCCTACCTGTGCGTTTTTCTAAAAGCCAAACTTGCATTTCCATATGAGCAAAGAAAGTGCTGTGTAAAGTACACCTCCAACCAAACTTGTTCATAGTGATTTCATTAAGGATATCAACATTTAAAGAGCAATGCTGAATTAAATTGTAACAATTAAATCTTGTACTGAAGAGTCACTTGGAGCAATTTCTTAATTTTTTTTCCGTACCAATTCATACCAATTTCGTAACTAAAGGAGGAAATTCTGTTACCAAAACAAAAGTCAACAAATACCAACGAGGAGGTGAGTGTTAAATGTACATTGAAGAATCATAATCTGGATCTTTAAGTAAACTAAATAAGAACCTTAAACACAGCACATTCAGAAAGTAAGAGATAACAAAGCATGGGTCAGACTATCAGATGAATCAACATTACACCGAGAGTGAAAAGAAAAAAGTTCTTCCAGGATTTTGAACCATTAAAACCAAAATACAACCCATACAAACAGGGGGGGGAAAAAAAAACACAAAACAACCCAAACACATCAGTTCACCATATTCAATCACCCATACTTATCTGTTCATAAATCAAGCAGGTGTAAGAAGTTTTGCTTATGTACCTATACCTGTTTTCTATGAATAAGCACAATGAGTGTTTCCAAGCTGTTATATAACACAGCAGTAAAATACAGTTATTGGAGCATGCAACAGTGTAGGCCCAAAGCAAGAGAGCAGATGACTTACACATTAGACTTCCTACTGCGGTACAACAGCTCCAACTACAGCTTTTCTCCTCAAAGACTTTAGACACCATATACTAACCAGAATAGGAGAGTCCTGCAATCTGCATATAGAGGTCTTCTTCAGAGAAACTTTCTGGTAACATGAGAAAGGCTGCTGTGACTGCACTCTTCAGATTGCTAACAAGAGCAGCTTGCAGCTTGCTATTCTCATTCTGTGTCAGTATTTTCACCTGAAAAAGCAGAGTCATTGGAAGCAAGACTTCAGGAAAGCATTACACTGAAGATGGAGCTAGAAATGTTACTCAATCCAACGTGAAAAATAAGTAAGAAATTTATTTAAGATTAAATCCTATTATTATGGTACAATAAAGACTAGAGTGTCCCCTTTTGTTTACACAGTGGGAGGGAGAGAGAGAGGAACATCTTTTTTAAGAATTAACACCCTGCTACAAAAGGCTGTTTTTACAAACACTTTCAGAATTGCTATAAGCAACAG